GAGTTTTGCTTATTTAGATGGAGCTTGTAGAGAGATCCTCCCACATCAGGAAACTAAAAGGAAGGCCTCAGGGGTTTTGAAATAGATGCAACAAAAATGCTTCTATTTTGTAGCCCAAATTAGCCTGCTGTAATAAATCTTCCTATTTGCAAAATTGTTTGTTTAGTATTAACTCACCTAATGTGTTTTTAATTTTTCAGAGGGAGTGGGATGAAATTAGAACAACATTTACTTAAAGTGATCTTTTGAAAATTTCTTCATAATATATTTCCCAATGTAGCAAATAGTTATAATTAACATGACTTTTATTCTTAGTGAAATTTTGCTGACGTGACTCAATACAAATTTAGTTAGGATGTGTGTATATATGTGTGCGTGTGTATATATATATATATATATATATATATATATATATATATTTAAACAGTCTTTTAAGTGATGATAGCTTATTTAATTTCTAAAGAGTGAGAGGTGCACAGAAATTGGAGGTTCTCAACCAGGGGTGACTGGCAGTGTCTGGAGACTATTTGGGTTGGCACAGATGGGGCAGGGGTGCTACTGGCATCTAGCCAGGGATGTTGTTAAATGTGCTGAACAGTTCCCAGAATAAAGAATGATCTGGCTCTAAATGTCACAGTCCTGAGATCCAGCACTAAAATCCCTGATATAATTATGTGCCTCCCCACCTCTGTCATTGAGTGGCTAGAGCTCTGTGACTCAGTGGAAGATGGAATTACGTAATCTGGGATGGAGCCTCCTTAGAGTCAAGTCATTCAGGGAGTTAGTCATGCATGGCAGGCTGCTCAGAAAAGCCCACTCTGTAAATGAAGATGGTGAATACCCTGCCCTGGCATCTTACCACGAGGATTGTTTATAGTCCCTTTATTTTAAGAAAAAAGGTAACATGCTATGTAGTCTGCAAATTATAAACTTCTAAAAATCACCTGTTCTCATTAAAAGGGCTTCACTTAGTTTTTCATGGCAAACATGTAATTTCATCTCATCATCGTGGGCCTACGAGTCCCATTTTAGCTGCTCTCCTACTTGACGTGGCATCTCCTCCTTCTCTAATGGTCCCTTTCCACATCTAGACACTTGTGCTATTTTCCCCCACCTTTCCTTCAGGAGGCAAAGATGCTGGCATTGAGGTGAGAAGTTCATGGCTGTTGACTTTGGACAGTTTCAATGGGCGGTTGTTCAGTGGAACTCATTTCATAGGTAGCACAGGGGAGTCTATGTTGGTGTGGGCCTGACACATTGAAAAATCATGTGCAAGAGAAAAATTTGCTCTTAGTCCCTACTTGACTTGAACTCAGGCTGGGAGGTCAGGCTGAGGCAGTGGTCCAACCATCTCTGATGGAATGTTGCCCAGTGAGAGATAATGTGTCAGAGGTACTGCTCTGGGTGCCCGTTGGGTGCCAGGCACAGTGTGAATGTGTCATGCCTCCCACAGAGCTAGCACTTTCTGCGGGTTTACTGGTACTTTCACTAGCCATCCTGCGTTATTTTATCATCACTGATTTGTTTTGACATGAGCGGTGATAATCTATCTCCAGGGGGCTGGTGAGGGTGCTTCAAATGCCCTTGCTCTGGACAGAACTAAATTACATCTGAAACGCCTCTAACAAGTGTTATTCTATGTTATGTCATCCGATGAAATTTCCTGTGTTAAGTCTCAGGTCAGAAGGATAAGAAAAGGAGGGCTACTTCATGTGGTTACCTCTAGACTGGAGTTCTAGAGCCTTGCCCAGTTTTTCAGAGACTATGATACCTTGTCCAAGAGTGAACTTAATCATCTTTTAATTTTATAGCCCAGGAAAAACATAACTCCTGTGCCTTCATTGTCCGTGTCTGGGTAGGGGTTGTGGCCTTGTTGGACAGGTGCCCCACCCTCCCAATTTTCCGCTGCACTCCTTCTTCTATCTTCATGCTCAGGGTCCCTGACTCCTACAGAAGCCATACTCTAGCTTAGTCATGATTTACAGTCCCTCCACCATCTTCTGCTCAATGTGTACATTTTCATCAATGGGAACATTGAGTCAATGAGACTCAAAATATAGAGACTGAGAAATATGATGCCCCCTAAAATTTATGTGTCTTCTTTGTGAAATATCACCATATATTCAGGGGACACTCCTTTAGAGGATGAGGCCTCTTTTCTTCATTCATAACTGCGTCCATTACGAGGACCCTGATAGCTTCCCACTTTTGCATTTTTGGGGTCTTCTATTTGATATCTCCTCTCCCTCTTAAATCTACAGTCTTTTCCCACTCACCACTTTTCAGAAGCCACATTTCATGATCTGTTTTCTTTACACTAAACTTTTCCTAACATTAACTGTTTAGTGCTTCTCTGGTTTCCTTGCATGTTCTTTGCTTACCTGGCATTTAAGTTAGCCATCCATGTTCTAGTCCACTTTTTCTCCTTCCAATCCTTTTTGGTTCTTTGACGTATGGATTTTGTCTCTTGTTTTACTGAAACTGTTCCCCCCAATTAAAAAATATATATATATTTTTATTGATTCCAGGGAGGAAGGGAGAGGGAAACATCAATGAGAGGGAATCATTGGTCAACTGACCCCTGCATGTGCCCCTCTCCTCCCCACCCCCTACTGGGGATTGAGCCTGCAACCTGAGTAAGTGCCCTGACTGGAAATCAAACCCTTACCTCCTGGTTCATAGGTCCATGCTCAACCACTGAGCCATGCTGGTCAGGCTGTTCCCCCAAATTGATTGATCATTGACTGCCTTTTCACTAAAGCATTGGTCTGATTCATTGGGATGCAGTTGACCAGGTCTCTTTTTAAAAAGTGTTATTATTATTTTTTTAAAATCTAACTTGATCTCCATTTTCGCTTGGTGAGCTATCTCTGATTTCCTTCTCATCTTTGTGTTATGACTGTTTAATTAGCAGCTTCTAAACAAACATAAAACTACTTAGCTCCTCCTTTTCCCCCCTCATGCTTTCCCCTGGTGAATTTAACCACTTCCATGATTTTAACCCTTCCAAACGTTGTATGCAATCTCTGACTTCTTTTTATATGAGCACCCAGCCTGGATTTTCAAGTCTGCTGCTTTTCCTTAAGTATTCTCTCAGCATCTTCAACCCAACATGCACACTACTAAATGATCATATTCTCCTCTAAATAAAATTCTTCTATTGATTATCATGTTAAACACAATGGCACTACCATCTTCACAGTCTCTTATATTCTCTGTCTTGAGTCCGTCCATGCCTCTTTACTTTCTGTTTTCCTAAATTTTGCAGATTAGAACAATGATCATTTTATTTCATTTCACACTTTGCAGTTAGGAATTTGGACAGGGCTCACCTGGGTGATTCCTTTGCTCTCATCCTTACTGAAGTCATCAGTGGCTTCCACATTTACTCATATGGCAGGTGCCTTGGTGGGGGCACTGGGAGGATGGGCTCTGTGGGAAATGTCACTAGAGCTCCTCTATGTGGTCACTCTAACATGGTAGGCTCAGGATAGCTGGACTTCTTACCTGGGGTCCCAGTGCTCAGACAGCATGTGCTAAGAGATAGGACGTGGAGACTGCCAGTATTAGGGACTGGGCTTAGAACCTAGCGCATCATCACTTCTGTTGTCTCTGATTGAGCCAGATGGTCACATTGACAACCCAGAGTCAAGAGAGGGGTCAATAGCCCAACCTTTACAGATGGAATTTCAAGGAATCTGTGGCCTTCTTTAATTTGCCATACTTTCCCATCACTTTGAATGCTTGCCTGCATTTTTATTCACATGGACACCATTAGAAGTCGCAGCTTCATTTATTGCTCTTCTGAGCAATTGCATTGTCCTCAAATGAACTTCTTCACCTCTGTGCTCCTTTCTACCCAATTTCCCAAGTACACTGTTGTGAGAATACTTTTGTTAATTTTTCATCTAATGTAATATTAATATACTATGGTAGCTTGTTGCCTAAATATGGAGACATCAGACATTAGTATAGTTTGCCTTTCAAACCTTAAATCAACCTACTCTGTAAGCTGCTTCCCACTATATCTCCTTTTATATCCCCTGGTGTTTGGGTCAAGTATAGCAAACTGTTCCCAAAACACATTGCCTACTCCTTCCTCTTGCCTCTCCAGGACATCTTTTCATCCTCTTCCTTTGGCATGGAATGCACTTCCAGAAATCTCCATCTGTTGAAATCCTCTTTATCCTCCAAAATGAAACTCAAACGTGAGCCCCTCTGTGGATATACCCTTCATCCGTCTAAATAGCACGAGGACTCTCAACTCCCACCACATTCCTGCTTCTTTTTATGGCTTTTTAACAACTTGGATTATAGTTATTTTTACAAGCCTATCTTATTTTAAAGCTTATTCATCTTTTAAATTATTCATAGGCTTTCAAGTATCAGCACCCCCAGTATAGTAATTTCATCTCACCCAGTAGGTGCTCAATATAGATTTCAGTGGATTTATATTTGGTCCCTAACCAGAGACTTTGCAGGTCATCTATACATTTCAAAGGATAAATTCACTAAATATGGGCAATTTTTAAGAGTCGGGCAGTATAATAACTGGCTTATAAGTCAATGACAATGGTTATGGCCTTATTAAATAGAGTCTTTTGAATATTAAAAAGGAAGGCCAGCATTCTCTGGGTTTCCACATATAGATCTGTGTTTGCATGTTCCAAGGGAAACCCAATTGATGATTACAGCCCTTTAACTGTATTCCTTAGGAAAGTGACTGTCATGTTTTCATGGAGCTTAAACTTGAACATTTCTCCTTTTATAAAAAAAATGGGTTATCTCATAAAATTATTGTGAAAAAAAGGTCCTTATTGAGATACATACACTCATATGTATCTGACAAATAAGCTAGAAAAAAGTCTGCTTGTCTGAGCTCTCAGAGCTCAGACAAGCAGACATTTTTTTTTAAAGGCAGTGGTAACAGGGCATTACCAAAAGGCCACCACCAGAAACCCTGGCTTGTTTCCATCCAGGTGTTCTCCTTTGTGTTTCAGGCACTTTTCCCACATGACGGGAGGACGAGCTTCTGGTTAGAAGACAAGCGCAGAGCCCGAGCCCTCCTGCCCACCATGAAGGGCCCCTGTGTCATCGCGTGGCTGTTCTCCAGCCTGGGCTGGTGGAGACTGGCCCAGCCCACAACAGACGCTTCTCAGTGCCAGAGAGCGGAGCACCCGGTCATTTCCTATAAAGGTAAGGGACAGGCATGCTCTGAGTGCCACGGCACTTTCCACGCTCAGTGACAAGAGGATAGCAGTTGCTCCATTACTTTCATTTTAGACATTGTTCACAATAGGAGTAAAAATATGAACTCCTTCATCGCCAGAATTTCATGTCCAGAAACGGATCACTAACTCAAGAATTTTTACAGATAAGGAAGCCCCCGTGTTGAGACCACTGTTATGTAGCAGGTGCTGGAAGTATCCTGGACATTTGAACCAGGGGGTAAAAATGTGACCCACAGACTTAACACCAAAGTCAAGGAAAACAAAAAAATTCTCAGCTCAGTATTTCCCAACAAAACCTTAGTCTTGCCACAAAACATGTTTTGTTCCTGACTGGCATTGCATGGCAGACAGAATTGGTTTAATTGTCTCTGGTACCTCTATGGATCCATGGGATTAATAAATTGGTATGTGTATCCACTCATGTGTTTTTTCATTAATTAGAATTTATTTAGGGTTCTTTTCACCCCAGACACTCAGCATGCATGAAGAAAACGAAATGTCTTTATCCCTGTCCTCAACGAACTCACAGTTACATTATCAAGTGAACCAAACTTACTCGGTCATTGTATTTTAATAATCCATCCAATAGTTTTATGTTTTGTTACTTTTTAAACTTTGTATCATAACAATTTCAAATAGACAAAAATAGAAAAAATAATTTAAGGAATACCCAAACCCTGTATTTATTAATTCATGGCCCACTTTTTTAAAAATAAATCCTCACTTGTAGTCCACACCACACCCACCAAATTATTTTGAAACAAACTGAATAAATCATATAATTGTATCTTTAATATTTCAGTTTGACTATCAAAAAAAGAGAACTGAAAATACCATTTTCATAACAAACAGACAAAAACAACAACAACAAAATAATTCCGTAATGTCACCAGACATTTAGTGAGTATTGTGAGATCCCGGAGGGTCTCATGGATGCTTACACATTTTTGTAAGTGGTATTAAATCAAGATCTAAATGAAGTTTACATATTGCACTTGGTGCTGTACCTTTTGAGGTCCTTTTAATCGTTTACTGTTTGTTGTTGTTGTTGCTCCCCTTGCAAATTAATTATTTAAAAAAAAACACTAAGTACTTAGTAGTACAGAATTTCCCAAAGTGTGGGTTTTGCCAAATGCATCCCATTGGTGTTGTTCAAATGTCCTTCTGACTTGAATGTGCCTGTAAATTTGTAGCGATTTCAAGGCTGCTTAGATTCAGGTTCAGCCCTGTCTGTCTCCACTCTGTCATGGGTGGTGCTGTGCACTTCCATTGGAGGCAGATAATGACTGGGTGTGAAGTTAGCAGTCATTGATGATCACTGCCTAAATTTACTGATTTATTCATGGGTACGAACCTGGAATTTCGTCATCTTGTCATTCTTCATTTAATGGCAAGAATATTTCTATACAAAACAACTTTTCCTCACTATCTTATTTGATTATCCTAAGGGCACCCCTTATATAGGAATGGCTGAGTCAGTTTCTTTAAGACTAGTGAGGTTTTTTTAGCATTACCCAAAGAGGACAAATAAGGTATTATGTTTGCTTTTTGTTTATTTTTCTTATTTTGATGATGATGGTGGCTTTAATTCTCACCAGAGGATATGTTTTTTAGTTGATGAGAGAGAGAGAGAGAGAGAATGAGAGAGAGAGAGAGAGAGAGAGAGAGAGAGAGAGAGAGAGAGAGAGAGAGAGAAAGGAAGGAAGGAAGGAAGGAAGGAAGGAAGGAAGGAAGAAAGAAAGAAAGAAAGAAAGAAAGAAAGAAAGAAAGAAAGAAAGAAAGAAAGAAAGAAAGAAAGAAAACAAACAGCAAACATGGGTCATTTGCCTCCGATACACCTGTCAACCGAGGCATCAAACTCACAACCTGGGTATGTGCCCTGAGCAGGAATCAAACCCGAGGCCCTTTGGTACATGGGATGATGCTACAACCAATGGAGCCACACCAGCCAGGGCTGATTATTAGAATTATTATTAATACATGGGTTTAATATTTGATATCTTATTTTAAGTAGTTACAGTTTTTGTTCTTATAGATGGTGAAATCATCACATTTCAAGCCCCTGGGAGCCTCTTGAATTTGGCTCCTGAGTTCTTTTGACACAACCCACATGACTTCTGATAACGTGCTAACTCTCTGGGACAAGATGTCATTGACTCCTCTCAGTCATTTCCTTCCGTAGATCCAACAACCTGACATTTTGGCTGATGTTGCATGGAGGTGCTCAGTTAGGTGTTTTGAACTGAGGAAAACATTTTTTAAAAATGCACCATCCATTCTAGATAGTTTCAAGTCACCTTTGGACTGTCGGATATTTCTGAACCTCTTCTGTCTTGTGTCTACATCTTTCTCTCCCCTGCACAGAATCCTGAGTCTCTGCAGCCAATATAATTATTCCTTTGACCTTTCCTGAATATATACTCAGCTGTTTCAGAATAACAGTTTCATGCAACTGGAGTCCTTTTTGACTACTGAAAACCCTGTACGATGATTTTCTTCTTTTTGTTGTCAGGGTATACATTTCATTAGGAGATTAAAGCAGAATTACTGCCTTAAAATCACTTGAAATAATTTCCTCTTGTACGGTTATGCCAACTCAAAACCCAAATAGTTTTGTTGAATTTTGCTTTTATTTTTTAGAGATTTTTGAAATTTACATCTCATTATTATGTGTTACTTCAAAGTCAAATTCATGACACAAGGGTGTTCAAGGAAGCTAGCTTTCCTTCTTCTTCTCTTTAACCCGTTTAATCTCTGTTTTTAGATAACCTTTTACTTAGTGTTTAAAGTTCATGCTTCTTTTTAATACAAACATATATGTATACAAACACATATTCTTACCTTCCTTTCTTAGATAAAAGCTTGCATACATACAAACTTTTCTCTATGTAGCATTTTTTGACATAATAATATACCCTAGAGGCCACTCACTAGTAGTATAGATTTATGTCATTTCTTTTTATAGCCTCATAGCTCTTACTTTGTGATGAACATAGTTAGGTTATTTTCTGTCATTTGTGATCATGAACTATTAAAAGGGGCTATTAAAATAGTCCATTTAATGGGCTATTAAAATGAGTAGCGCCTCCTGCAGTCAACTTTTAATATTTTTGCAATAGTACCATTGGGAGACATTCCTAGAATTGGGATTGCTGTGTCAAAAGGTAAATGCACATGTGGTTTGCTAGATATTGCCCAATTTCCATTAATGAAGGTTGTGCCATTTTGCATTCTCTTTGCTCTGGATATGAGTATCTGTTTACGATCAGCTTTTCCAGCAAAGTATACTATTAGACTTTCGGATTTGAGCCAATCTTGTAGCTCATAAGTGGCATCTCAGCTTATTTTAATTTGCACATTTTTAATTAGGAGTGAATGTACAACAGACATTTAATTGGTACCTATTATGTAAGAGGGTCCATACTAAATATTGAGGAGCTAGAGGCAAAAAATACAGTCTGTGTTAAGATATTAGAACACCTTTAGGAATATAAACCAAAAGGACCATTGTATTACATCCTATTAAGGGACCTATTGGGTGTCATTGCTAGGGTCTATGGGAGCCTAGTCTGAAGGAGTGTGATTAAGGAAGCTTCCTAGGATGAGGTGATGCCAGAGCTCAGTCTCAGACAATGGTAAGCAGGTGTGTGTGAATCTCACGAAGGGGAAGGTGTTCCAGAAAGAGAACAAGTGCATTGGTCCTGAAGTGAGGGAGGGAAGAATAGTGTCCTGCAAGAGGCATGTACAGGGAGTCATGAAATCTTAGTCTAAGTTTTAGAGAGCATATAAAGGGAGGTGAAGCTAAAGTGGTTAGTGGGGCTTTATAATGCAAGGTGTTGGAAGGCATCTTAAGAAGTCCCCCAGCTATCTGGACAGGCTCAGCTTGGAGGGTGGCAACATGGTGGCAGGGACAGCCCATTCGGAGGCTGCTGCTCTTATCAGAGGGAGCAGTAATGTGGGTGGGGGCTGAGGGAGAGGTAGTAGAAATGGGAAGAAGTGGGTGGATTCTAGGAATTTGAAGGGGATTTTGTTGATGATTTAATGGGTATAGGAGGGAGAAGGAGGCACTGAATATGATCCCCAAGTTCTTGGCTATTTAACCCATATGGAAGAAAGAAGGGGGAAAATATTTGAGGAATGTGATGATTTTAGATGGAGAAAGCTGAATTTTTACCTGCCATCAGAAGGAATGATCTAGTTGAGAACAAGGCATCATGGGATCCAAGAACAGGGGACTTTTCAAGAGGGAGGTGGCCATCATAGTATTCAGTGATGCAGAGAGTTAAGGAAGATGTGGGCCAGAAGGTAGAGTGAGAAACTCACCCTGGTTTGCCAGGGACTTTCCTAGGTTAGCACTGAAAATCCTGTGTTCCAAGAAAGGCAATGGTATATTAGTTTCTTAGTGCTGCTGTACCAAAATACTATAAACTGGATTGCTTCAAAGAACAGAGATCTCTTCTTTCACAGTTCTGCAGGCTAGACGTCTGAAATCAGGTGTCCGCAGGTCCATGTTCTCTCTGAAGGCTCCAGGGAAGAAACCTTCTTTTCCTCTTTGTAGCTTCTGAGGGTTGTTAGCAATCATTGACCTTCCTTGACATGTAGACTCATCACTCCAATCTCTGAGTCTATAGCCACATGGCTTTCTCTCTGTGTGTCTGTCTTTTTGTCCTCTCCTCGTCTTATAATGACACCAATCATATTGCATCTAGGGCCATCCTAACCCAGCATGACCTCGATGCAACTAATTACTTCTGCAGAGGCTCTGTTTCTAAATAAGGCCACACTCACAGGTATCCAAGATTAGGATTTCAATAAGTCTTTTGGGAGGACCCCATTCAACCCATAACAAATAGCATTTATCAGAGCAGGTTTAGGGCAGTGCAGGAGGAGAGACTTAGATGATGATGAGCAGAGGGATAAACGTGGCATGAAGAAATTGATATAAAAGGAGAGAATTGTTGTCTC